ATAAATAAAAATTCTTCTCATTCAGAGGAAATTAATATTTATTATTTATTTTATAATATAATATATAAATATTTTTATTTAATATTTATTAATATAATTATTTTATTTCAGGAATGATTGTTTGTCGAGTATAGGAAACTATGCAAATGACTTTTCGCAATGGTTAACAGACTACGTATGTGAATATACATATCTTAATTATTTTAAACAACAGTATATAAATTTTGTTAAATTATATAGATATGAAATTTTATGAAATTCATTGAAAGCAATTTGCTTTTATATAATAAATATAATATCTGTATCTACCATTTATAAAAAAATATAATATATGCGAATTCTTTTGTTTCTAAAGTCCGAACACGTTTTGATGAAAGATATTGAAAATCATCAAAAAGAATGCGAGAAGATTGGCAGAGAACTTACGATTCTAAGAGAAGAATTGAATGATATGATACAGAAATGTGACTTAAATTGTATTATCGAAGCTAACGTGGATGCTAATGATTTATCAAATCTTAATATAATACCTGAAGTCAAGTAAGAAAATATATTATATAAAATTTATTTGCGTGCAAAAATTATTAAAACGTAATGTAAATGTTGAAAATGTAACAACTTTTTAGTATAGATCGAGCAACATAAATCTAATGAAGAATATTAAATTGGGAAAAGATAATTTAAATAAAGTACAGAACAAGATAAAACAAAGCAAGATGATATTTAACGAATCTAAGACAAAAGAGAAGATGAAGCTATTCTAAATTGTATTCGTCGTTTGTTCTTATTTCTCTTAAATTAATAGAAATAGTTAATAGAAATAATTAATAGAAATAGTTAGTTATTGTTACATGAAATTAATTAAAATGTATTTTACATTAACTAATAATTTGTCGTTGTATAGTTTACAGAATACATGTTGAGTGATTTTTAACCAATTTAAATAATTTAACAAATTGATTCTAATATTGATATCTTAATTATAAAAGAAATAAGTTAATTGAATATCCTGACGAATATATGTATATGTTTGTATTTGGGTAAAATAATTTCTATGCGTAAATTTGATTAATGTAAAATTGAATATCAATATTAAAAATTTAATTACATAATTGTATAATTGGGGATAGAAATATAAATATATATGTATTTTTTTTTAAATACAATATACAGTTTTTAAAGGTGGATTCCAAGCGCATATAGTACAGAATTTTTCTATAATTCATGTCACTGATAAATTATACTATACTATAATATTATATTATACTGATAAATTATACTATAATTATATTATAATTTCAACTCATAAATTATAACAAAATATTTTATAGAATTCAGCCATTATGTCCAATAATGCGTTTTTCTTTGAAAAAAATAACTTTAAAAATATAAAATATAAAAAAGTAAAATAAGTAAAAATAAATAAATAAAAATGATAATTTTTTTAATAAACAAAAGAAAGTTTTTAGAAATTCCCGTCTGTTAAAAAAAAATAAATAAAAAGAATAGCCTATTTTCCATTATTTCTTGAGTGCACGCGTATCAGTCGACAATCAATAGATGTGCTCAAAACTTTACTCCATGAATAGATTTAGGCTGCGTTCGGGGAGCGCGCTATTAGCACTATCACATCATTTCATCTTTATTGCTCATTATATGTAAATTGAGAATAGACTGATGTGATAGTTCTAGTCTAATAACGCGCTCCTCGAACTCAGCCAGAATTGTATTTATTTGACCAATTAGCAGAACAAAAAAAGCGAAAATTTCTTGGTGGTTTTGATAAATCAAATGTTGCTCTACTCGTCGAATAGGGTTTCGGAATCCCAGTAGTCACGACGTCGATTCAAATTTACGCGCGATTTGTCGCCAACTGTCGCCAATGGAAAGCCGGTTGTGATATACGCGGCGTTACTTTTCGTATTCTTTGCCGATGCTGCCGGATTGTATCTTTTGAAAATAAGCGTGGCTTAATAAAAAAAAAAAAAGAACGGTTCTCTAATTATCGAAATGGAGCTCACTGATGATAATTTGGTAACGTTGAGTGAATATTTGAAGCACACCCTCAGCACGGACGTGAGTGTCAGATGTTCAGGTCGGTATAACCTACAAGCTCTTCAGCGTTTCATATTTTGAACGCGTTTTGTATACGTTTTTCACACATTATTGTTCGATTTCAGCTGAACTCTTTTTGAAATCGGTGGAAGTTAATCAAAACTATCCTTTATTACTGCTTCATTTGGTGGACAAGTCTGAGATCAACATTACGATTAGGGTCGCTGGCGCGGTTGCATTTAAAAATTATGTCAAACGCAATTGGAAAGTGGTAGGGTTTTTTTTCTTTTTACATCCTTCATACATTTTCATGTCATCGTTATGTTGCGTTGTACTTTGGTTTGTAATTATAGAGTTTCATTTTAGGAAGAAGACACAGTGGATCACATACATGCTCAAGACAGAGACACTGTCAAGAAGTTAATTGTCAATCTGATGTTACATTCACCAGATTCGATACAAAAGCAGTTATCGGATGCGATATCTATTATTGGAAAGTATGATTTTCCAAACAAATGGCCGGAATTGATTGATCAGATGGTAGAAAAGTTTAATACTGGTGATTTTCATGTGATCAATGGTGTTTTGCATACCGCACATTCCTTGTTTAAGAGATATAGATATGAATTTAAAAGTGAAATCTTGTGGACGGAAATAAAATTTGTATTAGATAAATTTGCAAAGCCTCTAACAGATTTGTTTTTAGTAAGTATCAATTATTTTTTGCATGCAAATATTTTTAAATATTTTTAAACAAAATTGCTTTACAGACTACAATGAATTTAACGCAAGTACATGCTAACAATACGGAAGCTTTAAAGGTTATATATAATTCTTTAGTTATCTTATGTAAAGTGTTTTATTCTCTTAACTTCCAAGTAAGTATTTGTGTATACATGTATTGTATCTATCAATCAAATATCAACCAAATATGAATGAGAATTTATTATAAAATAAATTTATAAATATTATTACTGTTATTAATACAGGATCTGCCAGAATTTTTTGAAGATAATATGGAAGTGTGGATGAGAAACTTTCATACTTTATTACTTGTTGATGTTCCCTCCTTGCAAACCACAGTAATTTATATATTTAATTAAATATATATTACTATTAATTTATATTTAAATGCTTAAGATCAAAATAATTTCTCAATTTCAAACCTATTTAAAGGATGAGGAAGAAGCAGGTGTAATAGAGCAGTTAAAATCACAAGTGTGCGACAATGTTGGCCTATATGCCCAAAAGTATGATGAGGAATTTCAACCTTATTTACCTCAATTTGTTACAGCAGTTTGGAATTTACTCACATCTGCAGGACAAGAGCCTAAATATGATGCTGTGAGTTAAATTCAATATTGTTTTGTTGTTCTGTTGGGAATTTTAGAAACAAAACGCGAGTTATAAAATGTTGGAATATATCTGCAATCTATCAGCGATATATTATTATTACAGTTAGTTTCAAATGCATTGCAATTTCTGGCCACGGTAGCTGATCGGGCACAATATAGACATTTATTTGAAGAGCCAGCAACTCTTAGCAATATTTGCGAAAAAGTCATTATTCCTAATATGGAATTTAGAGGTAATTTATATTAATATGAATATGATAAATCTATATCACATTAAGTTTTTAAAATCTTGCAGAATCGGATAATGAATTATTTGTGGATAATCCCGAAGAATATATTAGACGGGATATTGAAGGCAGTGATGTAGATACCAGGAGGCGTGCGGCTTGTGATTTAGTTAAAGTATTATCTAAATATTTTGAAGCAAAAATTATGGAGATTTTTGGAGCATATATACAGGTAAATAGTAGAATATAGAATAGATCATTGATGATCTCAATGATTGATGATTTCAACAAATATTTTTTATAAACGATGCAATAATACATATACATTCTGCAAATTTGTATATTTTTTAGGTAATGTTACAAAAATATGCTGAAATGCCATCGAAACATTGGCGTAATAAAGACGCTGCTATTTATCTTGTTACTAGTAGTGTGAGTAAAGCACAGACGCAAAGACATGGAGTTACTCAAAGTAGCGAACTTGTCTCCATACCACAGTTTGCTGCGCAACATATCGAGCCTGAACTGGCAAAACCGGATGGTATACTGAATGCATTTGTTTAAAAAAAAATAATTTAATTTGACTTATAATTAGTGCTAGTTCTATTTTTATATCATTTAAGGAGATGCTGAACTTGTCTATTACTAACTGAATGCAGTAATTTTTGTATCACTCTAATTTTTTATTAATTTGGTAGATTTAGAAATCCTTTTCCACAATTAAAGTTAATGTATTAATATGTGTCTAACATGAATTTTGTAAAAGAACGAGAAAAGTTTTTATAATTTTTCTTTTTTACTATTTGATACTTTAATATGATGTCCAGAGCTGTCAAATCGCGTTAATATTTGCTTTATATGAAAATTTTACAATCTGTTTCCTTTCTAAAAAAAAGGCATGACACTCGCATCTCTCGAAATTATTGTTGCCGCCTTTCCGCAATGCCGATTGGTTCTCTCGCTGCGCTAACTTCGTGAATAGCTGTCATTGTATTGATCTCACAGAGGATCGTTTTGACAATTATGTATCAAGAAGTTAAAAAATTTATAATAGTATTATAAT